GAGTGCTGTACAGGGGGTTTTGGTTTTGTACATGGGGGGTCAGAAGTTTTAAGATGGAGGGATCTGGGCCTGCCCTGTCCTCCCTCTTTCTCCTTCCTTCCCTCCATGTTCTTGGTGATGTTGACACTCCCAGATTGGTTTAGAGTAGAAAAGCACCATTTAATATAGGTAATGGGCATTGGGGAAAAACTGTACCCATGTAACACGTAATGTACCATATAAAAGATAGAAAAGCACCATTTAATATAGGTAATAGGCATTGGGGAAAAACTGTACCCATGTAACACGTAATGTACCATATAAAAGATAGAAAAGCACCATTTAATATAGGTAATAGGCATTGGGGAAAAACTGTACCCATGTAACACGTAATGTACCATATAAAAGATAGAAAAGCACCATTTAATATAGGTAATGGGCATTGGGGAAAAACTGTACCCATGTAACACGTATGTACCAGATAAAAGACAGCAGCAGCCCTGGGCAGAGGGGGAGAGAAGAAGCAGTCGGGAGTCAGAGAGGATGTCAGGGTGTGTGTGTGCCTCTGCCTGAGCTGTGAGCAAACCACAGCAGCCCCAGAAGAAAATCTTTTAGATAACTTGCAATAAACTGCCTTGAGACCGAACAACAGAGACTGCTGAGCCTTTCTTTGGAAGCTCGGCTTGGAGGAGAGACTTTTCCACCACACGGAGCCCCTGAGCCAGGACGGGTTTCCAACACATTCCTGCCCCGGGAAGGTCTGCAGGGTGGGCATGGAGGGGCCATGCCAGGCTGAGGGGCCATGCCCAGGGCTGTGTGCTGCCCACAGTGAGGGATCCACAGTGGTCGCTTCCAGCAGCTCCTGTAAAACCCAAAGAGCCAAAACCCAAACTCCAAATCCAGAGATGCCAGGGATTTGTGTGCCCTGAGGGTCTCCCATTCCAGGGTCTGTCAGGAACAACGGGACAGTGGGAATGCTGCTGAGCCTTTCCTCAGGTGCTGATCCCTGGAGGTGCCTCGCTCTGTGTGGGAGCTCTGCTCTGAGCTGGCTTTGCAATCTGAGAGGGATTTTGTGCTTGCATTTGGGCAAAGCACTTTCCTTTCCTTTCCTTTCCTTTCCTTTCCTTTCCTTTCCTTTCCTTTCCTTTCCTTTCCTTTCCTTTCCTTTCCTTTCCTTTCCTTTCCTTTCCTTTCCTTTCCTTTCCTTTCCTTCCCTTCCCTTCCCTTCCCTTCCCTTCCCTTCCCTTCCTTCCCTTCCCTTCCCTTCCTTCCCTTCCCTTCCCTTCCTTCCCTTCCCTTCCCTTCCCTTCCTTCCCTTCCCTTCCCTTCCCTTCCCTTCCCTTCCCTTCCCTTCCCTTCCCTTCCCTTCCCTTCCCTTCCCCCTTTCCTTCCCCTTTTTCCTTCCCCTTTTCCTTTCCCTCCTCCCCTCTTTCCTCCCCACATTTTTCTGTCCCCTGCAGATTTCATGGCCAAGGGAAGCCCCTGGGGAGAAGATGAGAACAAAGCTGAATCCCTTTCACACCCAAACGCAATATTTGCGTGTCTCATATATGTGGCAATATTTGGGTGCCTCAGTGTCCCCCCACAGCCCCGCGGGGACCCGTGGGCACCCCAAACCGGTGCTGGCACGTCCTGGTGCCCGCCCTGGCTGTGCAGCTCCTGCTGGGAGCTGTGGGCAGCCAGGCCAAGGGAATATTGATTGGTTTTCCAGCAGAACCTGACAGAGCCTATTCCGGGCGTGTAATGAAGACTGATGATCCCATCCTCTGGCCCTGCTGCTGTGGGGAAAAGGGAAATTATTCGCTGCATCCTGGAGGGAGACTCCGCGCCTGTTCAGCCCTTGCCTCGTCTCGCTCCTGCTGGTTTTCCCTCCTCCCATCCCCATGGATCTCTGCCTTCCCAGAGCTCCATTCCCTCATCCCAGCACACGGATCTGGTGCTGCTCTGCCAAAGCCCACCCTAGCTCGTGGTGGCTCCGTGTGGTGGAAAAACTTCTCCTCCAGCCCGTGCTGCCAAAGAAAGGATCAGCAGTCTCTGTTGTTCGGTCTCAAGGCAGTTTATTGAAGTTATCTAAAAGATTTTCTCCTTGGGCTGCTGTGGTTTGCTCACAGCTCAGGCAGAGGCACACACACACCCTGACATCCTCTCTGACTCCCGACTGCTTCTTCTCTCCCCCTCTGCCCAGGGCTGCTGCTGTCTTTGATATGGGACATTACGTGTTACATGGGTACAGTTTTTCCCCAATGCCCATTACCTGTATTAAATGGTGCTTTTCTATCTTTTATATGGTACATTACATGTTACATGTTACAGTTTTTCCCCAATGCCTATTACCTATATTAAATGGTGCTTTTCTATCTTTTATATGGTACATTACGTGTTACATGGGTACAGTTTTTCCCCAATGCCCATTACCTATATTAAATGGTGCTTTTCTACTCTAAACCAATCTGTGAGTGCCAACATCACCAAGAACATGGAGGGAAGGAAGGAGAAAGAGGGAGGACAGGACAGGCCCAAATCCCTCCATCTTAAACCCTCTGAGCCCCATGTACAAAACCAAAACCCCCTGTACAGCACTCAAAAATTCTTCCCTTTACTTTGTAACTACTTCTACTATAACATCTAAACTTTTGTGACTTCTTGTTCTCCCTGCAAGGTTGGTAAATCATTCCATGGTTCAAACCCAAAATCACAGCTGTTTCCAGCTGCCTGCCAGGGTCTCAAATGCTTCTGACCTGGGCCTGGAACCTCAAAAAATGTCTGAGGGACATTTTGAGTTCCAACACTGCTCCAGACCATGGAGGTGAAGATTTCACTGCTGGGATGAGCTGGGTTGAGGACTTGTTGTACCTGGAATTTCTTTTCCGAGCGTGGAAAGATCTCCCACTCCAGTGTCAGCCATAAAAATGAGTTTAAATGGGTCAGAGTTTAAAAGAAAATAAGCCACCTCACCTATTACCTGGTTTTTATTTCTCTTGTAGCTTTAGGGTTGGTGTTTTCAGGCTTTTCTCAGCAAACAGGACAGTGGGAAATGCTGAAGCATTATTTGGTCAGGGAGAATCCTCCAGGATCACAAGGCTGGGGGGAAAAAAAGAGGAAAATCCCAACTGCTGGAATGCAGGAGGTGTGAAATCCCGAGGAATTTCAAAGGAACCATTTCTTCCACACCTCCAGGAATCTGAGGAGTCTCTCTGCTCCATCAGACCCAAATGTCCTCTCCGGCCTGGCATTCCAGGGAGCCTCTGGATCCCAGGGATCTTCCAGCAGCTCTCCCCCTTCCAGCCCAGCCCCATCCTGGGAAAACACCCGGCAAATTTATTTTAAAGTTGTGTTTTGACACTCAGAACCTGCTTTGACTGTTTTGGGGTGGGATTTCTGCTGTTCCCATCAATATCCCGAGCTCCATCCAGCCGATTTCTTGGAAGGGGACAAATAAATTCTTGTCGAGCCAAGGGGGAAATCCTCCTGCAGCAAAAAAGGTGCATTTGGTGAGCCCACTCGGATATCCATGGCACAGCAATTACTCCTTTTCTCCAGCTCAGGGAAGGAATTTCATCAGTAACTCAACACCGCCGTGAGCAAGGCTCTGGGGAGGCCAGGAAATCACAGCGCTCCTTAATTCTGAATTAAACACTCCAAAAATAAACCACCTCAGGCACCTGCCTGCCCACCGCGGGACGCAGGACCACAACAAGGAAACTTTGGGGGAGATTTTTGGGGTGGGATGATCAGGGGGAAGAGCTTTGGCAGCAATTCCCGGGCTGCCAGGAGCGCATCCCGGCATTCCAAAGCCGCCTTTTCCTGCTGCTGGCTGCCGAGTGGGGCTGAAAACAAACATCTGGCAAAGTTGAGCACCAGGGGCGAGGGGAAATCGCTGCTCGTGGCAGGCCGGGCTGACAGCTCCTGTGAGAGCAACGCCGCCAGCGTCATTCCTCGGCGAAAGCTCCCTCACAAAGGCAAGGAATGGAAGCAAATCTTACATGACACATTTATTTTTGTCCTCTATTTATTAGCTCCGAGCAAAAGTCCTGCTGCGCTGCATTATGGGGGATTATGCAAATGAGGGACATCAAGACAATTAAAAATTTTTTAAAAAATAAAAAAAAAAGCCCAAGTGAGCACAATGTCAGAGCGGAGCAGATGCTGGGAGATGGCTCAGCCCTCCCTGCCCGCTCCTGGCCCGCCTGCACCTCCTGCTCCGGCAATCCTGAGCCCGGATCCAACATCTTCCCCCCATCCCAACTCTCCTGGCTCCTTGGACAGCCCCAGCAGCTCATTAGGCCCGGCAGTTAATGAGCTGCCCAGCGCATCAGGGGAATTCATCAATTATCCCATCCTTATTTAAGGGGAGGATGAGCAGCATGGACCCTGCTCCATCCTCACCCCATCCCGCGGCTCACCCACATCCCCGCGGCCGAAATTAACAGCGGAAATTTGGATTTTTGGAGTTATTTAGAGGGCAGAGAGCAGGGAGGGTCCTTGCCCAGCTCCAGGCACCTCCCGTGTACCCAGGGCAGAGCTGTCCCGGCTCGGGGTGGGATAATTCCGCGCTGCCACGGGAGGAAGATCTGGCTCCCGAACCTGCTAAATCCCCGCTGGATCCGCTGACAGCGGATTTGGGAGAGCTGAGGTGGAGGGATAGCGACGAGCCGCGGAAAGGAGAGGAAATAAAAAAAAAAAAGTCCCAAATCCGACTTGTCTTTGCTTTGCCAAGCCCCGGAGGACTCGGGATGGGTTTGGGATTTAATCCTGTCTGAACCCCGCTGGTTAGAGACTGAGGTGACTCAGGGACAGCTCCTGGAAGTGGGGAAACGCCGTTTTCCCCCCAAAAAACCCCGTGGAAGAGCGCGGGCAGCCGGGGAAAGCCGCAGGGGAAGCCGCTTCCATCCTCACCCCGCTAATTACACTCATTAGGGGCGCAGCGCTGCCGAGCCAGCCCAGCTATTTTGAATTTTCCTGCCTTGCTGAAAGCGCGCACCGGGGACCTCGGGTGGGTTTTGGGTTTTTTTTGGTTTTTTTTTAATTTTCCTCGAAAAAGGAGATTTCTCCTCCCAGGTCAGAGGCTCTTTTGTGTCTGCTCGGCTGCGAGACGGGGACGGAGACAAAGCAGGATGGGGGAAAACGGAGAGAAGCGAGCCGGGAAAAGCCGGGAAAAGCCGGGAAAAACCGGGATCGCTGCCCGGGGCTGGGGGCAGAGGGGGCCGTGCCCTGGGTACCGCATCCACCGCGCGGGGAATGGGAAAGCGGCGGGGATGAGCGGCTCGGGAGGCGAGAGATGGAGAGGCAGGAGATAATTTATGCAGCAGCTCGGCTCGGGGCTGCGGGCGGCCCGGCCCCAGCCGGGTGGGAGGGATGGAGAGGGATGGAGATGGATGGAGGCCTCCCCCCATCGCCCCTTCACCCGCCCCCTCCCGCCCCGCAGCCACACACAGCCTCGCAATCCCCTTTACAATTAGGAAAGCACCAATTCAGCACCGCCGGGGCTTTTGTTCCTTCTCTTCTCCGCCGGCCGAGCCTTCCCCGCTACCTCCAAACAGCGCCCGGCGCCTCCTGAAGTTGCTTTGCAGGATCCCCCCTCCAAAAAAAATTAAAAAAAATTAAAAAGACTCGCTGGAGTCCCGCGGGTGAAGCTGCGGGACGAGAGAGGAGGAGGAAAGAAAAGCAAGGAAAAAAAAAAAAAAAAAAGAGGAGCAGGAGGAAGAAAAAAAAAAAAGTAAGACGGCGTTTTCCCGTTTTTTTTTTCTCGCTTTCTTTGTCTGGAGCGGTGCCTGCAGGAGTTGTGTGCGTGAGGGAGAGGGGGCACGGGAGGAAGGCTCAGCCCTCAGCCCGCGGGGGGATCGGCGCTGGCGGCGGCCTCACCTGGGCAGCACCCCCGGGGATGCCAGCCCGGAGCATCCCGAGCTGAAAATGTGGGAAAATATAGATTTAATTCTCTCTCGGCGGTGTTGTGGCTGTGGCTTGCTGTGGCTCTGTTCTTGTGGAGGTAGCTGGTGAGCTTGGGGGGAAAAAAAAAAATGAAAGTGGCTTTGTTTTTGGGTGAAAATAACCCTGAAGTGGCCAAAATTCACCTCCGTGTGGGTATTTGTGAGGCGTGTGGGTATATTCATGCTGTATTCCCTTTATTTATGCTGACAGAGAATTACATGCAACACATGTTAACGTAGTTATCGGTTAATTACACGTGAGCTCGTTAACTCTTGCATTGCGGGGCTGCAATGGGTGTTCCTGTACAAGAATTTAAGTTTGTTTTTTTTTACCCCAGGCGAAGCGGGAGCGGGCTCGGGCATTGTCTGTAGGGAATAAACCCCGCGGGAGGCGCGTTTGGGGTTTTGATTTTTGGTTTGAAGGGCACAGGGCAGCTGCTGGTGCCTGCCTGGATCTCTCTGGGTGCGGGAAGGATGCGGGAGGAGCCGCATCCAGCCCTTCCTCCTGCAAAACTTGCAGCTCCAAGCCGGGAGAGGAGGAAGAGGGGGAGAGGAAGGCTCCCCGAGTCCTCTCCGATGAGGTAATCCCGAAGAAAGATAAGGGAAGCGCTGCGTGTATCAACCTGAGCGGTGATGTCAGCCAGGAAAAAGCAGATTAAGGACTCGGAGAGGGGAATTGCCGCGATTTTGGCGTCACCCGCTTGCCGCTGTTAATTCAGGTGTGTTGTGGCAGCGAACTCGAGGCTCCCCGGGGGGGTTTGGGCAGCTCAGGTGGGTCCGTGCAGGGATTTGGGGGATGCTCTGGGGGGCTCCGCGTGTGCCGTGGGGCTCTCATGTGTCTGCGCTGCGAGAGCCGCTCAGGAAAATGAGAAATTCCAGAAAATGAGGAATTTTCCCTGCCAGGAGCTTCAGTGCCACTGAGGGGAAGAGGGGAAGGCGAGCCCAGCCCTGGGCTCCGGTGAGGGGCTGAGAAGAAATGTCCCCTCCCGGGCTGTGTGTGTCCCCAGGGAGCGCTGGCAGCGCTGGGGGCTGCTCAGGGACAGCTTTGGGACACCCTGAGCCCGCACCTTTGGGTGTCCCCGCGGCGCTGGGGAGGTGGGGCTGTCCCTTGGGAGGGGACAGCGGCCCTCGGTGCCCAACCAGGGCAGGGGACAGCTCCGGGGTGGCAAAGGGACGCTGGCGGCAGGTGAGCTCCTGCTGGCGGTGAGAGGTGCCACGCTGGGCCAGGAGGCAGCAGGGAAAACCAGGGAATAACAGGGAAAAATGGGGAATAACAGGGAATAACTAACAGGGGAAAATGGGAATAACGGGGAATAACTAACAGGGGAAAATGGGGAATAACGGGATAACTAACAGGGGAAAATGGGGATAACGGGATAACTAACAGGGAAAAATGGGGAATAACAGGGGATAACTAACAGGGAAAAATGGGGAATAGCAGGGAATAAATATCAGGGGGAAATGGGGAATAGCAGGGAATAACTAACAGGGGAAAATGGGGAATAACAGGGAATAAATATCAGGGGGAAATGGGGAGCAACAGGAAATAACAGGGAAAAACAAGGAACAACAGAGAAAAACATGGAATAATGGGGAGAAACAAGGGAAAACAGGGAAAAATGGAAAAAAACGGGGAATTATAGGCAACAGCAGGGCTGGCAGTGGTCAGAGCACAAACATCCCACATCTGCCTCCCCTCAGACCCGATGCTGAGGGTGCCCCCAGCACTCCAGGGGGCTCCAGGATGGCCCTGCCCATGCTGGAGGACTCAGCCCTGATGGCTGATGTGGGACAAGGGTTGATCTCTTTTTTCTTCCCAAGTTTCTGCCCAGGGCGGTGTCCCTGGGGTCACCTGAGATGGGTCTGAGCCCACAGAAGGCTCTTCCCAGGGAGGCTGAAGTGGTCCCTGTTGGTTGGAGCTGATGGTTTTTACCTTGCCTTCACCTTTTACCCCTGGACAAGGCCCCAAGGGGCTCCATCCTCACCTGTCCCTGCGAATTCCTCCATGCCTTTGTTCCCTCTGCTCTGGTCACTCCTGACCTCCAGCCCATCTCCCCCCAGTCCCAAGCTGGAGTTCCTGGAGCTCCGAGGGGAGCAGGGACCTCCTCACCAGGGTCCAGCCCCTGCACTGCCCAGGGTGGCTCAGCTGCGGCTCCACGTCCCTGCCAGGGCCAGAGCAGGGACCCCCGATCCCTGATGGAGCCAGGCCAGGGACCCCTGATCCCTGATGGAGCCAGGCCAGGGACCCCTGATCCCTGCCAGGGCCAGGCCAGGGACCCCCGATCCCTGATGGAGCCAGGCCAGGGACCCCCGATCCCTGATGGAGCCAGGCCAGGGACCCCCGATCCCTGATGGAGCCAGACCATGGACCCCTGATCCCTGATGGAGCCAGGCCAGAGACCCCTGATCCCTGATGGAGCCAGACCATGGACCCCCAATCCCTGATGGAGCCAGACCATGAATCCCTGATCCCTGATGGAGCCAGACCATGGACCCCTGATCCCTGATGGAGCCAGACCATGGACCCCTGATCCCTGATGGAGCCAGGCCAGGGACCCCTGATCCCTGCCAGGGCCAGGCCATCCATCCTGATCCAGATCCAGACCACTGACCCCCCATGTCTGATGGAACCAGGACCATCAATCCCCCATCCCTGTCTGAGCCTCACCTCACTGAACCAGATCCAGACCCAGACCATCAAACCCCCATCCCTGCCTGATCCAAACCATTGAGCTTGATCCAGATCTGGACCCAGACCATCAATCCCCCATCCCTGCCCAATCCAGATCACTGAGCCAGAAAAATCCAGATCCAGACCATCAAACCCTCACCCCTGCCTGATCCAGACCATGGAACATGATCCAGACCATCAATCCCCCATCCTTTTTGGATCCAGACCATCAATCCCTCATCCCTGCCTGATCCAGACCATTGAACGTGATCCAGATCATCAATCCTCTATCCCTGCCTGATCCAGACCATCAATCTCCCATCCCCGAGTGATCTCCACCACTGACCACCCATCCCTGCCTGATCCAGACCATTGAACATGATTCAGATCCAGACTCAGGCCATCAATCCCCCATTCCTGCCTGATCCAGACCATCAATCCCCCATCCCTGAGTGATCCCCACCACTGACCCCCCATCCCTGCCTGATCCAGACCATCAATCCCCCATTCCTGCCTGATCCAGACCATTGAACGTGATCCAGATCTGGACCCAGACCATCAATCCTCCACCCCTGCCCAATCCAGACCACTGAACCTGATCCAAATCCATATCCAGGCCATCAATCTCCCATCCCTGAGTGATCTCCACCACCGACCCCCCATCCCTGCCCAATCCAGACCATTGAGCCTGATCCAGACCCAGACCATCAATCCCTCATCCCTGAGTGGTCCAGACCATCAAACCCTCATTGCTGCCCAATCCAGACTATTGAACCAGACCCAGACCATCAATCCCCCATCCCTGAGTGGTCCAGACCATAAATCCCTCATCCCTGAGTGGTCCAGACCATCAACCCCTCATCCCTGAGTGATCCAGACCATCAACCCCTCATCCCTGAGTGATCCAGCCCATCAATCCCTCATCCCTGAGTGGTCCAGACCATCAAACCCTCATCCCTGCCCAATCCAGACCATTGAACCAGACCCAGACCATCAATCCCTCATCCTTGAGTGATCCAGACCATCAAACCCTCATCCCTGAGTGACCCAGACCATCCAACCCTCATCCCTGAGTGGTCCAGACCATCAAACCCTCATCCCTGCCCAATCCAGACCATTGAACCAGACCCAGACCATCAATCCCCCATCCCTGAGTGATCCCCACCGCTGACCCCCCATCCCTGCCCGATCCAACCCATCCCTCACCAGCCCTGTGGCTGCTCTGGCAGGCCCAGCCCAGTTCCCCCTGGCTGCTGCCGTGTCTCCTGCCTCACCACCCAGACTCAGTCACAGCTGGGGCGGCGGGAGCTGAAATATTTGTGCCCAGGGATGTGCAAAAAGGAGCCAGGGCCTTCCCTGGGCTCCCAAGCTGCCCTCTCTTAAGGGGCTCAGTGGAAAAACTGATGGCAGGAATTGCAGGGAGTGAGCAGGAACAGATTTGGGTCATCACCTCGTCCCTTCCCTCTCCCATCCTTCCAGATGGGAATAAATCCGGAGGGATCAGCGCCCTGCAAAGGGCTGAGCAGAGAGATTTGGGGTTTGGGATGGGACCTGGCACACACAAGTCGTGATTTTGGGATCCTGGGGCCTCTCCAAGGGTCACTTCCCTGCTCAGGATGGATTTGTTGGTTTGCAGAGCACCGAGGGGTCCAACATAAATGAATTTATGGTGGATTTTTCATTTAAGGTTGGAGGATATTTTTTCTTGGTACAAAGAAAAACCTTTTCACCTAAAATAAGTCTTGTGGGGAAGAGGGAAAGGAGGGCTGGAAGCGGCACGCTGCTCCAGATGGAAAAGTGGGAAGGAGAGGCTGCAGCTCCTCCAGGCGGGTTTGTGCCTGGAGCTGAGCGGGACAAACAAACTGGAGATGCAAAATATAAAATATTTTATATTTTTTATATCAGGCACTGAGGAAAAGCCACTCCTGTGGGGCTGCCCGGTGTGGGGACAGCGCTGTCCCCTCACCAGCCCCAACAAAATTCCTGATGTAGGGAAAGCCTGGAATTCCCACTGGAAAAAGAAAAGGAAAACATCTCCTGGGCTGCCAGGGAGCAAAGCCCGTGATCCTGGAGAGGGATGGGCAGGAGCATCCCAATGGGTGCTGGAGTTTATTTTAGGTTGTGGGTGGTTTTGTGTGGTGGAAAAAAATTATTTTTTTTTAATTTGTGTTTAAAAAAAAAAGTTTAGAAGTTTTTGCTGTTTGGTTTTAAGGTGGTTTATTGTAAGCTATTTAAAAGATTGGTATTTTTGGGTTGTTGTGGTTTGTTTAGTAGTATAGGTAGAGGTGTATATATACATTTGATTTTTTTTCCTTTTTTTGGGGGGGGTTTTATTTTTATATGGTATATTATGTGTTAAATGTTTATAGTTTTTTAATGTTTATTATTTATATTAAATGTTTTTTTTATTTTAAATGAATTTATGAGTGTTAATATTATTAAGAATATGGAGGTAAGGAAGAAGAAAGAGGGGAGGATAGGATAGCATCAAATTTTTCTATCTTAAAACTTTTGACCTCTATGTACAAAATTAAAACCCCCTGTACAGTTTTAAAAATTCTTCTTTTTACTTTCTGACTATTTTTACTCTAATATCTAAACTTTTGTGACTTCTTGTTCCACCTGCAAGGTTGGTAAATCATTCATGGTTCAAACCCAAAATCAGAGCTGTTTCCAGCTGCCTGCCAGGGTCTCAAATGCTTCTGACCTGGGCCTGGAACCTCCAAAAATGTCTGAGGGACATTCTGAGTTCCACCACTGTGGTCTGACCCTCGGCTCCACAGGGAATCAGGGGGGCTCTGCCCTGCCAAGCTTTGCAGGATCTGGGGGGTTCCTCATCCTCCCCCTTTTTATTCCTGAAAGATTCATCAGGAATTCTGCAAAGTTTTGGGTTCTGTTCAAGCAGCTCTCCGTAGAAAATCGGGTGGTGATGTGAAAGCTGATTAAAATCCATAAATAACTCCGGAATCGCCCCATCCATACAAGTGACAGACACCCAGGGCACCTTCAGCTGCACCACAAATGTCCCAGAGCTCTTTTCCATGGGAG